GCAACTGCCTATTCTCCAGGAAGTTTCCGCGTTAAAAATGTTCGCTGTCCTGACGACACTCCAGGGAGTCCCCAAGTGCCCGCTTCCTGCATTCGTCTTGGGGCGCCGAAATCCCAGCTCGCTGCTTCGTCAGTCAGTCCGAAATCGACCGGCTAAGTTTCGAAACGTCGTCAGAAGCACGAGGGACGGCCCTGACATCCGAAAGTTGTCTTCTTACCACACCACGTCGCACCGACTATGGCCCGCGGTCACACGTGTGAGGGGAGGGGAGACAAAACAGAATGACTGCTGGTGGTTGTTCAGATTATTTAACGACGCTGTTTCAACTGCGGAAATGGGGACTCGGGCTTGTCTGCCGAGTACGTAGTCCACGCCATGAAGATGTGTGAGCAAGTGGAGGGAAAGCTCCACAGGTCATTAACCTTGGTTCTAATGGAGGCGACAGGTCAGAGGCTGAGCGCCCACAAAGACAGCGAGGAGGAAAAATCTTTGCCCTCCTGACAACAACAAACACGCCCTGGAAACGCAGTCAAATGTCAGCCAATAACCCACAGACCATGAACTCACCTTCCCGCACGCTTACGTCTTATCTACGCACTAATCTCCACAATGCCGATGCTTTTCAAAGTCTGGTCCGAGGGCCACCAGTGGTCCACACGATCACAATCTTTCGGCAGTCTAACCTCCGAAACGTATTACGGATTTCGATTAAATTTCGTACTGGCGGTCTGCAACAATAGTTTTCGGTTATTATCTGAAATAGCCGCGGTGGTCTAGCGGTTAGAACGCTGGCCTTGTAATCCTGGGGGTCTCGGGTTCGATTCCCGGCGGTGCCCGAATTTATAACTTGTGTTGGGCAAGGCCGTGGTCTAGGCAACACGGAGTTTTCCTCCGTGGCATCCCAACAATTACTCCATTCACACACAGAAGAAGGCAATGGCAAACCACTGCTGGATCATCTGCCAAGAACGTATATGAACAAGTCCCAGTCCGAGAAAAGGATGGAAGAAGGATCCTGTTCATATGGACCTGACCTGTCGTCATTACTCCATTTACACACAGAAGAAGGCAATGGCAAACCGCTTCTGGATCATCTGCCAAGAACGTATATGAACAGGTCCCAGTCCGAGAAAAGGATGGAAGGATCCTGTTCATATGGACCTGTCGTCAGACAGAACACTAAATAAATAAAATAAATAATATCTGGAATCGGCTCGTATCGGCCCAGCAGGCCAGAGTCGGTTCGGCGCCCGACAATGCCTCAAAGGGAAGCTTCTAGAACTGTCGGCCACATGAAACTTTATCGAGGATGGTGCAGCTCCGATCTTCAGGGTAGAAGCCAAGACAATGCGCCACTCACCGTCATTATCAAAAGAAAAGCTGGACAAGACATTGGTACACATGCACGCATTTTGTGACCTAACACAACGTATCTTGAGACATGTTACGACGCGGTGGATAAACACGGGACGTTTATTGCTACGCGGTGTGGCAACTGAAGCGCGATTAGATGAGCAGCAATTTGCAATTTACATGGCCTCGTGTCTCGATGACGCAACGCGAGCAGACCCTTGGTTCAGACACGAAACGGGAAGCCACGTTTGCTGCTGTGATCGGACAGAGACCGAATTAATGTTGCACGTGATGAGACGGTGCAGCTCTGGGCAAAACCGCGTTCTGCGAACTAAGTAACTTACGAGAAAGACAGGGTTGCGGGAATTGTTGAACACTCAACACAGCGTCGCGAGGAGCGAGGAGAAACCGCTTGACTGATGACACCCGCGCTCTGGTGGCAGTGGACGAACGAACGAACGAACGAACGAACATCACCTAGTGCCAGCGACTTTCGATAACGTAAACAGATGCGTCGACGAGATGTGCGAAGCAGATGGCAAATGCGAACGAAAGGAAGGGGAAAGGAGGAGGATAATATTAAAATGGCTCTGAGGTACATACGGACTGAGGGGTGCGGAGTGGATTAATCGGCCTCAGAACGGAGACCGGTCGCGGAGTCTTATGGCCAGCTAACGGACTATCAGCTCCTCAAGAAAGCCTCTGAGTCACTCACTACAGCTCGCCACTGTAAATCAGAGACACGTGGTCTTAGCGTGTTCAAATAAACAGAGTATCAGCATCAAGCTACGACCGTTTTACCCCCGAGAATAGGATAAAGTGGGTCTGACATGGCGCCCTGTTGATGGAGAACACTCCGAAACGTCGGCCACTCTCCACCAGTCTACACAAACTCACTGGTACAAGAATATGAGGACCTCAGCTGACAAGACCATTTGTTATACAAGGCAGCTTTCAATGGATTAATGTACGTTCAGTTTCATTTCGGGTCCTTCACAGGAAGAGGCCAAGGCAGGCAACGCAATTGGAAAGGGCACCCTCCGACATGCCCGAATGAAGTGGCAAGGTGAGGTGTGGGGTGACCGGCAATGGCACTCCTCATCCACCAGGGCCACGAGCAACAAGTTCAGATGAATTGTTCAATACTGACAATCTATTTCATATTTATCCACAGTCTTTCCATTAGAAAGATGTTCCTGTGTTTCGTATTTCCATGGTAACCTGTAAATTTGGAAATACTTTGCTTTAAGCATCGACAGATGTCGGGGCTTTCCACTTTTAATGTAACACAGAAAGTATCAAGAGAAATAGGACACCATTTCAAAGCATACAAAGGGCCAATGAATTTGGGGATGAAAGGATTTATGCAAAATGAGCAGGCCAGTGCTAAAGCTAACAACGGACAATTCGCCAATTTATATCTTGGCCAGGTCACCAGTTTTTCTGAATTCAACGGTTTTCCTCCGTCCCTCCATTCAGATACCAAGAGAATACTTTCAAATAGGATACAATGACCATTCATGACCTCCTTAGCCGGCTGAGTCGTGGAGCCTCATTGATTTTGGACCTTCAATCGGCTTGGAATTGTTTTAAACACACATTATACGAATCATCAGACAAACGGACATGGTCGATTCCATGGCCATTCATTACTGCAATAATACCCATCCAATCTGACAATCCACATGCATTGGAACCTACGGAACCCATTACCAAACATCTACCAAAATTTATCTTTTGTTCATAAATTCAAATGTCTTGAATAAATATCAAAAATGTCCAAGTTTGTTGTAATAGGATCATATATACATCAATTACAACTCTAAATACATAAATCTGCCAGTAAGCATTCTGCCTACATCAGAACAGGAATAAGTAACTAATCACCTTGCAAAGAATGCCCCAAGTTACGCACACAAATTCATAAAAGAAATGTGAAATTCTGTAGCACATGCCAACTCCCATCAGCTTTCTGCTGTCGTGCGTTTCGGAATGCGAGGTACCAAGAGTTCTAACCGCACGTGGCAATAAACAGTTTTTCTGGACTCAAATGTAAAGTTAAGAGCGATAGTTAATTTGTTTGTATCTTTATTTAACAACACTGTCTCAATTATGTGTGAATAATGAGTTGGCGTAGCTCAGTCAGTACAGTGACTGGCATCAAGTGAAAAAGTGGCCATGGTCTATTTTAAAGTAATATACCAGCATTTGCCTGTGTCTACAGAAGAAAACCATTAAAACATTCTGTGGGACTTCAGGCCTGGGGGCTAAAATCAAACATATTGCCCCATGAACAAGTCCAGAGTGACAAGCAAAATAATGTATGGTAATAGGGGAGATAACATGCCAACAGTAATCTGGATCATAAGTTAGTTGTCACAAACTATTTCTAGAAAACATTACAACACCATACATAATTTTGCTGTGAAGTGGAATCATAATCATAATGATACATTAATCATAAAATAACATTCATTAAGAATTTTTTTCAATTTGCAACCATAAAATATTCTATGCCAATGGCCTTCATTATGAATGCAGTGCTGTAAACTATCAAGCAATTAAATCACAAAACTAGAGACTCATCACTCTACCATCAAGAGAACTACAACATCCAGTTTTCTAGATTTAACTTACATAGGTTAGGTTGCTGTGCATAAAATGAATTAAATTTTCACTTTACATCATAGAATACTGTATTTACTTATCAAGGAAAAATCAGTATATGGAAGTTGTTGAGCTAAAACCCACAAACATTTTGGTAAATGTCTGCCCGTCTGATCTACAAACAACAGAAATATTTCTACCACAAAGACTTTCCGAGATCTTAACGCAAGAAACCTTGCAAGTTACCACAACCAATAAGACACTCACACAGATATTTGTCACTTCTAACAAAGACGTCCTCCACACTACCAACTGAGATTACAAGCTGAGCCTATAATAACAATTTAACCTCAATAAAAGTCCTTCGGAGTTCAAAATGAACTGAATTGATCAATCCCTATCCCTACACATCACTTCATTCAAGTACAGACATCAACATCATAGACACTGAATCACTAATAATGCTAAAACTCTACTATGACCATTGGTATCAATAACCTTTAAACTTTGATCAACAGCCCCCCTCCTACTGGTTTTCTAGCCCTCACCTCATCCTCAGCTTATCCCCCAATTGTCCTGTTAAAGGTTATACCTTGACCAATTTGTTCCCTTGTTTCAAACAGATTCCTCATGCACATCTTACTGATCGCCCTGAAGTTGGACTAGCAAGGATCTCTGAAACGTTGGTAAATTTCTACCACACTACATGGTGTTACAACCCAGAAGACAACCATCTTTGTACTCACCACCACGAGAACCTCAAATCTACTAATGTGATTACCAGCTGCCTCTACAACAACCCTGGGCTAATGTAAAGACTTACTAAAATAGAGTTGGCACGTATGTCCGGAATGATAAAAAAGTACTGGGCTTACAAATATTGTGAGATATCTTTTCGAATATTATATACTAGTCTGATGAATCATGCACAATTTTTATAATTGTAATCCTGAAATCCTATTTTCATAAATTCAAATCACCGTCTACCGCAGCATAGCCGGTAGCAAAGGCACTTTTTTACAAATAAAGACAATACTCACTAATTGATCTTCACCGACATTATATTCTGTACATCTCGCGCGATCTCAGAACACCAAAAACTGTACACCTTGCACCACGCACAGTTCATATTCCCCAAATTAAAACCTGCAATCTTCTTATATGACATTACCACCATTTTTATCGCAACAGTATTCCTTCCGCCTGTTGATCATGTCTTTCAGACTCTCGGATGCAAACTGAAATAAGAAAGAACGTTCAAAGGAAACCACCTCATCTTCAAGATGGCTCCCAGTGCATGTCGAGAAATTTAAAATATGATAGAAGGTAATAATGATTAAATTGTTTATAATAATAAACTGAAATATGCAACAGTAATCATCTAGATATGACCTACGTATTTAGTTTATCCGCATATTTTGAAAAAACAGAACGCCATGCCTGATCCATGGAATGTAAATTATAAGGACGATTACTCGAAAGAGTCACAGTTAACGTACCGTACAACATAGATAACTTACAGCCTTAAATATGTCAATGGTGATTTCTTTAGAAGACCCATGCCGCGTCATTCAAAAGAGTACTTGAATACATAATCTATGTGCTGTAACCTCCACCCAAAAAACTTGAATTGAGGATGGGCTTTCCACACACACAGATTAATCATATCCCTGATGATGGAGGTAGCAAGGACCTGTGAAACTGCAGTAAACTTCCACCAGTCTACAGGGCACAACCCACAAGACAGCCAATTTCAGACTCACTGCTGTGAAAACCTTAAATCCCACATACAATCAGCTACACTGATGTATTAACTTAACAGTATAAACCACTTATAAATGAAAACTCATGTTCATATTTGTATCTGTTTTAGCCACTGTATTGCAGCCTTCTTATGCACTCTTTGAATAAGATGTATAAAATGAATGCATAATAGAGAAGTCATATGCATCCAGGTTCAATTCCTGGAAGTAGATTAAAGTCTGCATTGGAATTACAAATATATTCAAAACATCACGTAAATTTTGTTTTGGTCTGCATCAACCCATTGTAAGTAAAATTTACATGATGTCCAAAACAAATGTTTCTAATACAAAAACCAATGAACAAGAAACCTGTATATAACAAACATTACAATCAGTAAGATAAATTCCACTTCAAACATTTCTTGACACAGTGCACATTCAGTAAATGAAGGAAGAGTTGCCTCTTCACAAATTACCCTCACTCCTGACTGTTCCAGTAGACATACCTTTGCTGTGGGCACTCACACTTTTCTGTTCCTGTTGAACATCTCATCATCAAAATGAGCCCTCAAACCATCCTCCATTAAATCATAACTTCAGGCCTGTACACCAATCAAAACACGAGAAGGAGATTACATCTGATAACTGTTCTGATAAACTTTATTTGCAGCTGATGATATCAATATATTACACAACAAGCTCTAAACTAGGTAGCATACCAACCACCTCAATAAATTTGATTCTAGAAATGCACACACCCAATTCTACCAACGGAAACATTCAATCGTCATGTTGGTACTACTAAAACCCGAACGACTCCGCACCCGACCGAGCGCGAGGCCGCAGGAGGACAGACGAGCATCCAGCAGCGCATCTCCCGATTCATACCGACTTCACATCCAGTCTCAACTGAACATTACAATACATCATTTGCATTTAAAAATGTTTTGTTTAGTGAACTGAAATAACAGTTCTGATCACATTAAATAACAATAACAAAAATGAAAATATACCAGACCTCAGGCAACACAGACTCATGGACCAAATGTTGCGGTACAGTCATCGTGCCTTTTCTCACCAAAGAATCACCTCACAAATCTACAAAGACATGCCCACACATCGTTCATGGTCAACCTGTAATTAGTCTGACACTATACAACCTCTACGATTGATAAACCATCATAACCCATAGACACAGGACTGTTTTTAGTATATTCAACACTTGGTGTTAGTACTCGTTTCATTCAATTTTCATATTATTACTACCCTTATTTTATAAATATATGATATGGCTGTGTTGGGAGCTTGAACTCACATATTTCCTTCTCATGAGACATGCAGGTTAGTTCACATGCAAGAGCACAGGTCAGTGGTCACCATAAAGGGAGAGGACGGTATAGTCCTTTGTAAACTAAGGTAAAAAGTGTTTAACCTGTTGCACATACACGTCATGATGTAACTTTGTCAAAACCAAAGAGAAATTGTCTCTACAAATAAGAAATTACAATCTGACAAAATAGAATTCAGTCCACCAAAATAAGAGTACACACGCACACGCACACACTTTAACAAATTACAAACTAATAAGTGTTAGTAAATTACAGTGCACCTTGTAGCCACACCCCTGGCCACCGGCTGAAGCAATAAATGCCGATGTAATTATTATTATCACAGACTGCACGTCGATGTCACGATTCTAGTTGCTCAGAATCTTGACTAAGTATGGCTTACCACATAAAATAATGTGGTGAAAAAAGATAATATAAAAATATGTCATTTTTAAATGCCACTCTGGAATGTGAAGTTCTTGATTCCAGACTTACTACATTCAAAATATATTCTTCAGACTAATTACTCTTCAGTCCCACAATTGGCATCCTCCAGAAGATCTCTTTTATTCGGGACATGGTCCCAGCACTTCGGCAGTCGTCCAAACTCTTCAGTATGGTACCACGGTTTCAACATTTCAGTATCACAGTACCAACTCTTCAATATCGTGGTCCCAATCCTTCCGTGTCGTGAAACCAACTTCAAAATATCATGATCTCAGCAGTTCACACGCCTTCATTATCATGGTATCCCCGTTCACGATGTCCCAGACTGTTCCACACTCAGACCCTCTCTCTTCAAGGGAATGTCTGCCAGTCTCCATCCCCACTCTTCAGTTTTGGCACTTGATATTGCACTTACCTGTTAGTCCCAACTAAGCTCCTGTGTTAATGCTAAGCTATCGTCTGTTACGTCTAGGAATGGTGTATCCACGGCTCACACGCTGCACTGAGGTGATTAATGTATTATAAAGATACAAAACCTGTGCAAATGTGCAACAATACACAACTGTTGGCAGGGGACTAGCCCCACAGTGACGGAGAGATACTTCTGGAAAGAAGAAGGTCACTTGTTCAGTCTGTGTCGGACAGCGAGGGCGACGGGTCCGTCTGGTAGGCGCTTCATGAGGCCCCACGCCTCGATTCGGGAGAGAATCGTGACATCTGAACCGTTCACACTAAGCAACTCGTCACCTGCACGAAGCCGGCCATTCTTCTCAGCAGAGCCACCTACGCAAAAATGAAAAGAAAACACCATCTAATACTCTACAGTCTGCAAGTCCATAGAAATGACAATGGGTGGACTTCATGCAGAAATAAACATTAACGCAGTAAAGCAAAGGATGAACACAACGCACATGTGTTTCTTAGGTTGACAGTACGTATGCACAAGTTTTATGCTTATAGTCATTCTGGATGCAGAATGTGCACATCTTTACCTGTGAATATCTTCTTGATGGTTAGGGGCTTGTCTCCGAGAGGAGAGTCTATACCTCCCTCCAAACTGAATCCCAAGCCAGCACCGTCCTTCGTTAGCATGATTGTGAGTGGAGGCCCACGGTCCTCTTCTGGAGACAGCAAAACAATCAACACTTCAGGCACAGATCACTTCTCAATCAACACAGCGACACCAAAAGGCTGTTTCTGACTACATATCCTGCATACAATGTCAGTTTCAACAACTGGACAACTTAACACGTGAAGTGAAATCGATTTCGTCTACGGAAGGTTTGTTGAACTGTGCAGTCAAGTGCTAAGACAGAAAACAGGCTGTGCGCGCGGAAGAGATAAAGTGTAACAAGCATGAAACAGAAAAGGCGGAAAGAAATGTTATAAAAGAAATTACAATACCTTCAGCTGCAACCAGAGGATTAGTTAACGACTCCACTGGCTGCTCTGGGATGCGGGGCGGCCGTGAGGGTCTCGGGATGTGTGTGACCACAGGACACTCATCCAGCTGAGGATCATTATGACTTCCATCCTGTAGGACTCTTGAGCGTGAAACGACAAGAACGACCTCTGGCCGAGGTGCCTGTCAAAACATACGAGTAAGGCTATTAAGTACCAGGACATTGTAACATGGTGACCGTAATCTTAATGCTCAACTGCGACTAGCTTCGTGGCACAACGCCCTCACTGAATATAACCTGCTCCTTCCTCTCCCACATAAAATTCAGGAAAATATGTGGGTACTTGTTCATGGTGGTCTTTCGAGTTCTGACGCCGTGCAGACTTGTGGGTGGATACCAACACGTCAGAAGGACACCGATACCCACCTAAAAGTCCACGCTAAGTACAAATACAAATGACCACCATCGACATCTTCAATGCCATGAGGACCTCAAATCTCATATGTGGGTACCTTGAGGATGTTGAGCGACTCATGATGAGTGACCCCCTTCATGCTACGCCCATTGATGGAGAGGATGCGGTCACCCTTCTGGATGCGCCCATCCCTGTCAGCTGGACTGCCCGCCAGCACCTTGTGAACCTGCAATGGACAAAAGCATGAACCGCAGGAAAGCAGACTGTTCAGGGTAAACCACTGTCACTACTCTCGCAAAGAAAATATGTCCAGGAAACATTCCCCCTGTGCTAACCCACATACATGAAGGAGAAATCATTTATTGAACTTTACTTCAATAAACCCTTAAAAATAGACCTAATTCCCATAAAGTGATGACAAAATCTAAGAATTACAAAACAAGACTTTAGGTATAAATGTTTTGAAATCATATGGACGTATATTTTGCTTAATATCTTATTTTTCAAGGAATACAAGTTTTGACTCAGATTATGTGATTTAATTTAATTTAAAGCGACAGAGTCAAGTAAATCAAGCAGTCGATCCCCAACGGATATGTGACCCCCACAGCAGACCCATATGACATCGCAACACATCACAGTTAACTGAAATCACATACTGTTATCTCTTTAGCCTCATAGTCTGCCCCTCCTGCTAGTGTGATGCCAACACTGCCAGTAGTGCCCTCCCGATGCAGTACCACTACTACTACGTCATGTACCGGAATTGCTGTGGTGCTGACAGAGTCCTCTAGGGGCTGATTTGCCTCATCAATCAACAACTGCAGCTCCTGCAAGTAAGAATCGTACACCACAGAACAAAATTTATGAGTGCAGGAAAATCACAAGAGATGTTTGTTCTCTTTGCCACCACAACTAAGATGCAAACCTGTGGAGAGATCAGGCTCGTTGAACTTGCGACGGAGGTCACGCTGCCAAATTGTTCACGATGCAGGTTGCCAACAGACCCATAGTGTGGTGTGAAGCTATCCTCGCTCGCTGTCGAGTCCAATGATGAGACGCGAGCGTGGTTAACCTTGCGCCCACTGTTTGCCAGCGCCATCTCAGCCTTCTCAAATGCTTTCCTGATGTCATTCACGCTGACAGAACGCCTGCTATCTCCCAGCACCGAGTCCTTGGCACGTTGGCGCCGCATCTGGGAGCCTCTGCCCTCTGTCAGAACGCTCAGCAGATCAGTCTCCTCCTCAGGACTTGCCTCTTGCAACTTCCGCTGCTCCGGTTTCGGTGGCACAGGAACATGTCTGGGGGCAGGTAATGGCTTTGCAGGAGGTTGCTCCTCCGGCAGCTTTTCGACGTCCTCCTCTTCCTCCGCATCAGCATGGCCCTCCACCTCAACCAGGTAGGCAACACGCTCGTCCTCATCAAACTTCCTCTGTATCAATGGCGATCCAACCTGCACGTCACAGACACAATTAGCACGCTTCCTCCTACCTCAGCTTCACGTGGTGCAAAAACCATTGCATCTAGTGTTGGGGAAATGACCTACCAAATTTTAAGTGAGACTAAACACTGGATTTCAAGTTTGAGGTTGCCAGCTATGCAGCTCAGTTGATTTTTAAACTTCTGCCTCACATAACAAGAAATCCAAAAAGGAAAACAAAAATATGCACATGAGATCAAGGATGTGACCAGCACTGTCTCTCCTCCTGACTTCCGACAGTCCTGATCAGAAAGTCCATCACTCCATCATGGTCGCAAACTGTCAATACGCATGTCTCCTTTCAGAAACGTACCTTGAGGTCCCGGCCGCTGCTGTAGCGTGCTGAAGACAGCACATTCTTGCGATTGATGGCCTCCACACTCTGAGCCTTCAGAACACGTCTGTTGCTGTCACTGGAACCGCAGGTCAGAGTGGAAGTGGTGGACGAGGCTGCGGAAACGGTGGTCTCGGAGGACAGCGTGCGGCGCAGGGGTGACAGTAGGGGTGGGGGTGGTGGCGTGGGTGGAGGCGAGATGCTTGAACGGCTTGAGCTCACTGCCGAGTCGTTGTCACTGTCATCCTCCGCGGGGCGGCGTCCGGGCGCCGAGGGACTCTTGCTTGCCGTGGAAAGTTTGTACTCAAAACTCAGATCTGACCTGGGAACAGGATGTCAGTGTCATGTTAACTTTCTACATGTCTATTCTAACAAATTCTTCCCAGTCCCAGAGTTCAGCCATTCTGGTTATGGGGGGTACGCATGGGGCTGGTCACTATAGTTTGGTCATATCTACACATACGCACTAGTGTGAGAGATTACCTCCCAAAGTTTTGTGTCCATCAACAGGTCCAATTCCCTTTTGAAAACCAAAAGGGGCATCTCATTTCGCACAGTAACAAATACTTCTACATACGAGGTAATACAAAATTCAACTTCCGTGTTTTTTTGTGACAACACGAGGCTCAGAACTCGCAGCGGGCAGATCCTTGACACAGCAAGTCCTACAGTTTGTTGAGTACACTTTATAAGATCTCTTAAAATTACTTTTGATTTTGGGTCCAGAAAAGGAACATAAGTAGAGAACAAACAGAGAGACACAAAGACTGAAAGATAAGAAGAAAGTGAGTAAATAAACACCTTGTAGGAGACGTTATGCTTTCTAGAGATTCAGGAGGCTCTGCTGACTGTCTGGAGACTGGGAACAACGACTGCAGCTCTTCCCGACCAGGAAGACCGGACGCACAAACCGTGAAGCTCTTCCTTTTAAAGGCTGGAGAGTATTTTGGAAGGTTGTTAGCACTGCTGCTTGATTTCCAGGGCGGAGACGGAATCACAAGTTGGGGCGCGCTGCTTGCAGTGGTCTGCTCTGTGCTCCACCTGTTGGTGGTACTTGCCCTGTGAACAGCGCACAACGCAGAAAGCGTGTCACAGCTTCAATCTGCTTTAATATTATTCTCCTTTCCATGATTAAATTTGCCGTGAGATTCTCTTAATGAGACGCCAGGGCTTCACGCACCTTTGTAGCGACGTTGTTGGAGGTGCCTTGTTGGTGGTCAAGATGGAGTCCCTGCTTCGTATCTCAGGAAGGTCGCAGATGGGATGGCTTGGGGACACTACCTCGGAGACTTTCTCGGGAATGACCAGACCACGAAGTTTGCTGATCCCACGCCTGCGCTGCTCGATGAGTGCGTTTAGAGACGCCTTGCGCACGTCTTCCGCTGAGCCACGGCCGATGTCAATCAACGACTGCGAACGTGTGTGCAGGCTTGCAGTGTGTGTCAGCGCGGATGGGCGAGCAGAGCCCGCGGGCTTGCGAGGTAATGTGTACACCCTGCAACACACAAAGCACCTTTGTAGCCTCGTAAAAAGACATCGCTGAACTCACCCTCGTGGACACACGATGCAGGCACTCACCCTGACAAGTGACTCAGGTCCAGGGAGCTGCGGGTTCGATCGATGGTGGGTGCGGGGGTCTTCTTGGGCAGCGATTCTGGGGGAGGTGGCCGTGGAGACCGTGGATCGACGCAGATGTCCTCGGAGCTGCTGAAGCGTCGTCGGGGAGTCGGTGCATCCCCAGCAGCCGAGAACATGGCGATCTTGTCCTTGACGCTGCCTTCGCTTTTCTCGTCCTTGCGCCAGGCTGGGACTCGAACCGGGGACCGCAGTTCCTCGACGGAGAACTTCCGGGGGGGTGGGCCCGACGCGGGGAGCGGCGGGGGGGGGG